GCTCGGTCTCACATCCCTCCCACATTCCCATCCCAATCCCAATCCCAATCCCATTCCCATCATTCCCAATCCCATTCCCTGGCTGTACCTGCACGAGTTTGTCGATGCCGAGGGCCCTGTCGATCTCGGCCAGCTCGGTCTCGTCCTTCCCGCTGAGGAAGCTGACCAGCTGCTCCAGCAGCGCCTTCTCGTCGTTCCGACCCTCCGGAGTGCTGGGCGGGCACAGCAGCTCGTCCAGCTGGGAGCCCAGGCACGGCCTTTCCCAAAAAACCACAAACAAACATTCCAGGGTTAGAGATCCAGGGAAATCCAGCAGCTCGTCCAGCTGGGAGCCCAGGCACGGCCTTTCCCAAAAAAACCACACACAAACATTCCAGGGTTAAAGATCCAGGGGAAAGGGACACTCCAAATCCAGGGAAAAGGGGCCAAATCCAGGGAAAAGGGACACTCTGGATCTGGGAGCCATATCCAGGGAAAAGGGACACTCCAAATCCAGGGAAAAAGGACAAATCCAGGGAAAAGGGACAAATCCAGGGAAAAGGGACAAATCCAGGGAAAAGGGACACTCCAAATCCAGGGAAAAGGGACACTCTGGATCTGGGAGCCAAATCCAGGGAAAAGGAGCCAAATCCAGGGAAAAGGAGGGAAATCCAGGGAAAAGGGACAAATCCAGGGAAAAGGGACACTCCCAATCCAGGGAAAAGGGACACTCCCAATCCAGGGAAAAGGGACACTCCCAATCCAGGGAAAAGGGAATCTGGGAGCCAAATCCAGGGAAAAAGGGACTCTGAGAGCAAAATCCAGGGAAAAGGAGCCAAATCCAGGGAAAAGGAGCTAAATCCAGAGAAAAAGGAGACTCCAAATCCAGGGAAAAGGAGCCATATCCAGGGAAAAGGGACACTCCAAATCCAGGGAAAAGGAGGGAAATCCAGGGAAAAGGGACACTCCAAATCCAGGGAAAAGGAGGGAAATCCAGGGAAAAGGAGCCAAATCCAGGGAAAAGGAGCCAAATCCAGGGAAAAGGGACCAAATCCAGGGAAGACTGGGAAAGAGCTGGGAATCCCCATGGAAAACCTGGAATGCCAAGGAAATCCTGGAGAGGGGGAATGTGGGAATGTTGTGGGAAAGGGTGGGGAGGAACTCGGGAGAATCCCTGGGGAATATCCATGGGAATATTCCTGGCTGGGCATTCCCTGAGTCTGTGGGAATTCCAGGGAAAAGGAAAGCTTTGGGTTATCCCAGGTTTTTTCACGGAAAAGGTCGGGGATTCGGGACTCACTCGTCGGGTTTTCCGAGGGCTCCGCGGGTCCCGGGGTCATTCCAGGGAATCTGCTCCGGCATTCCCGGCGGGATGAACTCTGGCACTCCCAGATCCAGCTCCGGAATTCCTGAGGGGGGGGGGGGGGGGCAAGAGAAAAAAACTGGGATGGAGAGAAGAAGAATTCCAAGGAATTCCTCCAAAAAAAGCCAGGCGGGGTTTTTCCGGGGGAATTTCGGGGATTCCCAATCACGAGGGGGGGGGGGAATGGGATATTCCCAAAGAATTCCAAGGGAAATGGTTCCTATCCAAGGGGTTTGGCTCGAAGAGGATCCCAAATCCAGGAGCAATTCCTAGATCTTTCCCTGGGAGCCCAAAATTCCGGGATGAGAGGGGGTGGAGGAGAAATCCTGGAATGCTGAACTCTATCCATGACCCTCTGGAAATCCTGGAATGCTGAGGGTTATCCAGAACCCTCTGGAAA